ATCAGTTCAGAGACATCTTACTCATTCTTTATTACACCTGCAAAAGTACTCTATTGTAAAGATAGACCATAGTTTATTTAACATCTTTCCAATGTAAGACTTTTTTAAAAATATGTTGCAGTTACAAACAATACTACAGTGAAAACTTTGTGCATATGTATTAATGTTAGAAGTATGTTTTCAAGCCGGGTGCGGTGGCTCAAGCCTGTAATCCCAGCACTTTGGGAGGCCGAGGCGGGTGGATCACGAGGTCAAGAGATCGAGACCATCCTGGTCAACATGGTGAAACCCCATCTCTACTAAAAATACAAAACATTAGCTGGGTATGGTGGCACGTGCCTGTAATCCCAGCTACTGAGGAGGTTGAGGCAGGAGAATTGCCTGAACCCAGGAGACGGAGGTTGCGGTGAGCTAAGATCGCGCCATTGCACTCCAGCCTGGGCAACAAGAGCGAAAAAACAACAAAAAAAAAAAAAAAAAAAAAAAAAGAAGAACTATGTTTGCAGGGCAAATAGCTAGAAATTGAAGGACTGGGTCAAGAGATGAACAAATATTTAGTTTTGTTAGATATTTTCAAATTCATCTCCAAAAGGGTTCTACCAATTTCCATTTTCACCCCCAAAGTATGACTGTACCTGTTTTCCAAAGCTTCAACATATTCAAGAGTATATTACCTAGCTTTAAAATTTTTTCTGTTGTGATAGGTTAGAAATATTATGTCAGTGTTGTTTTAATTTGCTGAATTTGTTCTTCTCTAAGTTTGAATCACTTTTCATATTTTCAGAGGTCATTTTCATATATATGTATTTTTTTGGTGAATTGTCTGTTCTTTTTCCATTTTTCTATTGAGTATTTGGCCCTTTGTCAACTTTTAAAAGTTTCCTGTACATTAGTGGTATTACCTCTTTGTGGTGTATGCTTCCTGACACTTTTTCCCTTCTTTTTTGTCATTTTTCGGGTGAAAAGACCTTTGTGTGTATGTGTGTGTGTGTGTATGTTTGTGACATTTTTTTCTCTTCTTTTTTGTCATTTTTCAGGTGGAAAGACCTTTGTATGTATGTTTGTGATGTATATGTTGTTAATGATTTTTAGTTTAATTGTATTTTAATCAGAAAATATAGTTTATTATTTCTTCTTTATGGAATATACTTACTTGTGTGTGACTTATCATGTGATCAATTTTTTTTAAGGTTCTCTGGGTCCTTGAGAATAAAATGTATTTTTTATTATAAAGGGAGTAAGTTTAATGTATGTGTGTATGTGTGTGTAAAATATGTGTATACATGTGTATGTGTATATACACGATTTCCTCTCGTAGTTGTGTTTTTAGGTCTTTTATCTTGTTAATTTTGCGCATTTGATCAAGCATTACTGATGTATAGATATTCATAAATATTATACCTTCATTGTGAATATATGTTTATCATGCTTTTGAATGAAAATTTTTGTTGCTATTTAAAAAGGTTATATTTTTGTTTTAATGGTTGCTCTTATACTTAAAGCTTAAATTCCCTTATCCCTCATATTTAACTCTGTTCTGTTTCATTTGTCTTAAAGGTATTCTTTAACTATTGCCTATACAATAATCAGTATATTCTGCTTTCCTCTTTGGGTCTTTCTTCCATTGTTTAGTTATGTTATTTCTACTTTGTCAGAACATATAATGATTACATATTACTCTTTCAGTGTAATCCCCAGCTTTTAGTCTGAAATCTACATATTTTATGTATTGACGTGGCCTCCATTTGTTTTTTGCTGAAATTTTTCTAGTTATTCATTACTTGAACAGGCTCATGCTTTGGTAAATTCTTCAGAAAGGGCTCATTAATATGACATTCCCTGTGCTTTTGTGTGTTTGAAGGTTTTTCTGCAGAATTGGTGCTTAAATGACAGCGTTGATGGATATAAACTTCTTGGTCCACACTTTTAAAAATTGAGTTGTTTGAAAATGTGATTTCATTGTTGTCTTGTTTTCTGTGTTGCTTTTGAAGAATCTGATGCCAGTCTGATTCTTTACTTCTCTGTGTTATTTGATCTTCTTGCCTAGAGAGCTTGACAATTTTCCCCATTATTTTTGAAGTCCGTTTTACAAGAATCTGTCCTATATTTGATCCTTTCAGGTTTTTTATTCACAGGTACCCATTTTATCTGGTATTAATTAGTTCTGTTCCATTGGGGTTTTTCTCCTACTTAAGGACTCCAATTATATAACTGTATTTCCTTCTTTGCCTGTGTTCCATTTCTACCTCTTTCTTTCTGATTCTTTTTTCTTTATTTTATTATCCTTCTTTGAGTTTTTTTTTTTCCTCCATTTTTTTTCACTGCCTCCTTATTAAATCTTAAGTCCATTGTCCCTTGCATGCTTTGGAATTTAGACTTTGTTTCTGAGATGATTTTATTTTTTCTATTTTTTTCCTGAGTTAAATCAGTTCTCTTTTCATTTTTTCTTTATTTCTGTTCTTAATTTTTGAGTTTCTGACTAAAGCAATTTATATCCTTAAATGCTTGATTGAATATATGTAGTTTGGTTTTCAAGTATTAGTTTCTTTGTTTTTTCTTTTCTTTTTTTTTTTTTAAGTGCTTTTTTTTTTTTTTCTGGTAGGGGAGAAGAGTTGGATTTTCATT